AAAATAAGAGGCAGTTACAGTACAGTGACTTCTGGGTCTGAATTAAAGCTCCAGTCTACTTGGGTTCAAATCCCAGATTTATCACTGTGTGAACACTTGAGCCTAGGATTCCTATCCTGCTAAATGTGAATTACAGCACATTCACATTCTAGTGGCCTAGAACTGTAGTGATGAGTAAATAAGTTAACATACGTAAATACTTAAAACAGTACCTAGCACATGGTGTTTTTAAATGCAATACTCCCATCATAGCCTGACAAACTAAGTTTTTCTAATTATATGTATATGTTAGCAAGATTAATATTTATCACAAAACTATCTTGTAAAAAGAATATTTAATACCTTACATGTGCTGATGGGAAAATTATATGATTTAGAAAAAATAAAATAAAACCTGAATGTCACTAAATAGATAAATGAAATCATGGACGAAAAAGTTCTGGATCTTCTTGGTAAAACAAGGTACATTAATTTTGGATTAACCAACAACTTAGAAGTGATTTAAACACTTATAAAAAGGCTTAAATTAGGAAAAAATGCCTTTCTAGATTTTAAGCAACTAAATGTGAAAAATACACTTTAATAATGTCACTATTTCTGTCCTTATTTTCATCAATTTAGCAACACTAAAAAAACAGTTTTGCTTCCTGTTTCATTTTCTGCAAATGATGTGACATATACCCTAATTTAGTGGTTAACACTTTGGCACAACTAAAATTAGTATTTATAGTAATAGTAATGTAAAAATTTCTTTAACAAGTATATACTAAACAATTTGGAGTTTACACTGATTAATAGTGTCCCTTTACATTATGAACTGATTTGTCATTATAAGGTTATTTTCTGTTAGTGCTAATAAAAGCTACACAAACCTAAGAGACCGTATAAAATAAAGCCTCAAAGATTTCTAAGTAAAAGAGCAAGAATCGAAGAAAAGCCCTTAAACTGAATCAGGAGTGTATTCTAATATGAAAACCTCACTGATCCGATGGACTATTTCTTGCCTATTTATTGAAACAAAAAATATCACACATTTGAAATGACTCTAAGTACGAATTAAAGTTAGTCTCTGAAGTACCTTAAAATCTACTGGAGTTATGAGAGTTTATACAAAAATGACACACAAACTTTAATTTGTAAAGTTAGCTATGCATTACCATTGCATATACATAAAAATTAGTGAAAATGACTGGTCGAATAACATTTAATAAAAACAGGGAAATAATTCATAGTTATGTTTATTTACTTATGTCTTCAGAGAGTTTTCCATAACCTACAACTTGTCTTTGTAACTCATTTAACTACCCATCTCCCTTAAATGGGTTCCTCTACCTCAAATATACTTAACATGTAATATACTTAAATTTTTTTTTCCTTTTTGTCTCATCAAGAAAAACCACCAAATATCTGAAGATTAAGTTATCTTTCATTCAATCTAAGTTAAACAAGTTCTAGTTCCTTTACCCTTATTTCTATAGTTACTAACTAAATTCAAACAATGTTGTTCGTGGTTTTCTACATACCTCCTCTGAGCTAAAATACAGATTAACAAACAGTATTATGATACTACTGGACTTATACGGAGGATCAGTGTCACTTTCATACCTCATCTTTTTAAGAGGTATAACTCTCCTGTATCAATTTGGGCTTGTCTATGTCTAGTATGAAGCACATTATAAAGTTTGTTCATCCTCATTCTAGACTTGTGTACTTATTTTCATCTCTAGAAAGTCAGTGTGCAGAGAAAAATCATTCACTATTTACAAATAAACAGAAACTCAAGTTTTCAAGAAGAACCGAATCTTCACCCTTGCCTAAGTGTTAGTTATCTACCAGAGTACTATGAAACAATCCTTATCCAAAAAGTACTCACAAATACCTAATGAAGTTAAGTTTCATTTTCATTATTCATCTTAAGGCACTTGACTATAACATCAAAAATCAGTATTAAACTTTCAAGAATAAACTTATGATAAACCTTCCATTTTTTCTCAATAGTCCTCAATCTTTCCAAGATGGTTACACACACACCAAGATAATGTTCCATCTGTATATGACCCATTTCAGCTATAAAATATCAGACTGAATTTGCACAAATAACTAACTATAAACAGCTAATCCAAATATCTTTTAAAAAGGCATTAAAAAGAGAGACTTTTTTTTTTTTAAAGATTTTATTTATTTACTCAAGAGAGACACACAGAGAGAGGCAGAGACACAGGCAGAGGGAGAAGCAGGCTCCATGCAGGGAGCCCAACATGGGACTCGATCCCGGGACTCCAGGATCAGGCCCTGGGCGGAAGGTGGTACTAAACCGCTGAGCCACCCGGGGCTGCCCAACTTTTTAACAAGTTAAAAACAAGTTGTAGTGAGTTCCAAAAACTATGAGCCCAAGTAAATTATTAAATCTTTACCAGTTCTGAAATCATGCATATATAATGAAATTTGTACTTAGCCAATTATTCTCCTTAAAGCTCTGAATCAAACTTTTGTTGTAAACTATTTTCTTTTTTGACAGATTTTACCTAATTGCAAATTAAGTGGCCTAAACCAAACTGGTGTTTGCAAACCCTCAGTACCATCCTGCTCCGGTATTTTTTTCCTTTAACTAAGAGGGATCATCAATTTGAGGACAAAAACGTTCACATTTTGGGGCACCCTGAGTGGCACGGTCGGTTAAGCATCTGACTCCTGGTTTCAGCTCAGGTCGTGATCTCAGGATCTCTCAGGGTCGTGAGATTGAGCCCACATCAGGCTCATCAGGCTTCCCACTTAGCTGGGAGCCTGATTAAAAAAAAAAAAAAAAAAAAGACTTTCACCCTCTCCCACTGCCCCTCCCCAGCCCTTTCTCAAATAAATAAATAAATAAATAAATAAATAAATAAATAAATAAATCTTAACAAAATTCCACATTCTGCTGTTATCTAAATATGTGGTCTTCAATGTCCCGTTCTAGAAAATGAACGCATTTAAAAGACTCAAATTTACGGACTTCCTATATTTATTCTTTATAACTATTTCCAGGGCAGCCCGGGGGGGCTCAATGGTTTAGCGCCTCCTTCAGCCCGGGGCGTGACTCCGGGGTCCTGGGATCCAGTCACATGTCGGGCTCCCTGCATGGAGCCCTTCTCCCTCTGCCTGTGTCTCTGCCGTGTGTGTGTGTGTGTGTGTGTGTGTGTGTGTGTGTGTGTGTCATGAATAAATAAATAAAATCTTAAAAAAATAATAAAACTATTTCCAGTAACTTTGTGAAAAAGCAATACTTTTATTTGAAAAATGTGAAACTTAAAATTTAACACCCACAGTACTCACACCGTTCCTATCATCCCATAGGGTCAACACCACCAATTACTACTCAGAGTACCAAAAACTTAACATTAAAAAGAAGTAATATCCATCTGAATCATAGCCATTTTTAAGCGGATAGAAATCCACATTTATCTATCTTTTTTATGAGGTGGGAACAGGTTAACTAATGGGAAGCAAGGATTAATTTATCTTTTAATAATCCAAAGACCAAGGTAATTATGTGTCCTAGGAAATATCCAACTTCCACACAGGAATAAACATCTTACAAACACTGACATGCGCAATAATGATCATTAAATCATCTAGAGATCGTATTTTCTGTTCTAGCGCAACAAGTGCATGTTTACACCGTTAGGGATTGTCACCATATAGACCCAGAATGTATGTAGCCCAACAAAGTAGGAAGAAAAGTACCAAGACTTCGATCAAAAAACACTTAAAAGTCAAGTCCCAAGACTGCCATCTACTAACTTACTTCAAAATCCACTAATACTACAGCATTTTATCGGAAGTAAGTGGCGGGGACAACACAGCGACTAACAACGTCCTCTCCTAAACAGATAATGTCTTGGAATACCTCCTCAAGATCGAGAGAGAACACCCCTAGCACGGAATTTTCGTTGCCCACTTCACGGATGAAGATGGGGGGGGGGGGTGCCACCGCGATTCAAACTGCCTGTCCTCCAAGTCCTGCCCCAGGTGAGGCGGTGAAACGGTGACCTAACCAGGTCTCAGTCTTAGGTTCGTTCCCTCCACCAAGTCGTAGAGGGGCCCGTGCATCCTACACCGCCGCTACGGTGACAAGCAGACAAGAAAACAGCGGTCACTGTATATGAAGAAGCACATCCCTCCTCTTCTCCCTGACAAACACCACTTGCCCTTGAGGTCACGTATTCCCGTATTTAAGCTGTGCCGACCACCACCGGTATTAAATCCCCACGCGAGCTACCTCCGGCGTTTGCATCCTCTGCTATTTCCTAGGTCTCGAGGGTAGCAAGCGCGCTGAGCCTCCAGCGGACTTATCTACTTCGTGCAGGCCTGCGGCTCGCCCGCCCGGGAGGGAAGGGCCGCGCTTCCGAGAGGCGCGGCGGGTCCCGACCGAGCCCCGACCGAGCCCCCGCCGAAGCCCGGGACCACGTGGTTCCCCCTCTGCTCGGCCCGAGGTCCCGGACTCTGCCTCCTCCGGCCGGGGGGCTGGGGCTGCGGGCTCCGCGCCGCGGGAGGTGCCGGGGCCGGCCCACCTGTGCAGCCCGCCTCCCGGAAGAACGCCGGCGTCGGGCCAGCCAGCAACTCGCTCGCCGGCAGACGCCGCGGGAGGAAGCGAGCCGAGCAGCGGCGCGGGCCGCCGAACTGTCAGCGCCCGACCGCGAGCCGCCGCGGGGAGCCGGCGTCCGGGCAGGCCCGAGGTGGGAGCGGCGCCGCGGGGGCCCGGCGGACCAGCGCCGCCGCCGCCGCTCCCCCCAGGCCGCTGGGCGCGCCGCGACCGGCCGCGAGCCCCGGCCCCCCCCACCCCACCCCCGGCTCCGATCCTCGCCCCCGCCGTCCGGGGGCCGCCGACACCCCGCTCGCCCCGGGCGGCCGCCGCCGGACCTGCCCGCACCTGTCACTGGCGACAGACAGCGGCCCGCAGCCCCCGCCCGGGCCTCCGCCGCCCTCCCGCCGCCGCGGCCGCCGCGGCCGCCTTCCCTCACCAGGTGTCCCCTTTCCGGAGCGAGGTTTTGAGCAGCGTCGCGATGTCGGAGCGCTGGATGTCCAGATCCGCCGCTCCGCCTTCCGCCATCTTCTTCCACAGGCGGCAGCGACGGCGGCGGCACGCCCCGGAGCATTGTGGGAATGGCGTCGCGCGGCCCCGCCCAGCCGCAGGGCGAGACCAAAGCAGACGCTGGCGCGGGGGGGTGCCGCCTCGGGACAGCGGGCGGGCCCGGGGGTGGCCGGAGCGGGCGGCCGGGGTCTCCCCCCCCCCCCGCCTCGCGGGCGCTGCCGGGGTTGCGCCCTCCGGGGGGTGCCGCTCCTCCAGCCCCGCGGTCCGCCGCTTCCCCTCCTTCCCCGCCCTGTTGCCCGCCGCCGCCTGCGCGCGCTCATCTGCGCGTCCGCTCGGGCTGGAGGGCGCGGCGCGGCGGGGGGCGTGCGGACCCGGAGCTGCGGCCGGACGGCTCGGCGGCTCCGAGAAGCTGCTCGCGGAGCCCCGGCCGGAGATCGGCGCCCGAACAAAGACCCGCCCGAGCTGGAGCTGGAGCCCGAGCTGGAGCCCGAGCTGGAGCCCGAGCTGGAGCCCGAGCTGGAGCCCGAGCTGGAGCCCGAGCGCAGCGCTGGGCTCCGTGCATCCCCCTCTCCCCCCGCCCGCCCGGGGCTCCTTCCCGCCCTCCGCCTCCTGCTGCAGGTGGAGACCCTCCAGAGGCTGCCGGTGGCGGCGCCTCCCAGGCACGCCCAGACGCCGGGTGCGGTGCTAACCGCGCGCGGTGCCTCGCCGGCCGCGTGCAGCGTGTGTCGCGCCAGGTGCCAAGGGAAGGACACGTGCGAGACCTTTGTCCCCCTCGCCCCACACCAGCGCGTCCCGAACCACGTCTCCCCGCGGGCGTGTGCCCGCTCTTCTTTAGCAACCCCGGCTCCTAGGGTGGCCACGGTGCCACACATGGGGAAGTCGAGGCTCAGCAAGCAAACGCTCAGGTCAGGCAGTGAGCGGAGGGGTGAGTGCACGACCCAGGTTCCAAGCCCCGCGCGCCCTCTGGCCGCCTCTCCAGTCGAAAACCCGCTCCGAAAAGAGGAGAGTCTGGGCTGCCCTGGGTTCGTCTTTGTGGTTTTCTTTTCTTTTTGTAGACCTGCGTGCGGCTGGTGGCTAGCAGCGTGCTGCCTAAGGACCAGCGCCGGATTTGTTGCAAGTGAATCGTGACAAAACTCCTGGGAGCATTTCCAAGCATGAGGAGGTCCAGAAATGTGACTGTAGGATGATGGAAGTGATGTGAAAAGTCTCAAAGACGTTTAAGAATCCCTGCATGGGGGGATCCCTGGGTGGCCCAGAGGTGTAGCGCCTGCCTTTGACCCCGGGGCGCGATCCTGCGATCCTGCGGTCGGCTCCCTGCATGGAGCCTGCTTCTCACTCGGCCTGTGACTGCCTCTCTCTCTCTCTCTCTCTCTCTCTGTCTCTCATTAATAAATAAAATTAAAAAAAAAAAAAAAGAATCCCTGCATGGGGGCAGGCCCAGGTGGCCCAGGGCATGACCCCGGGGTCCTGGGATCTAGTCCCCTGTCCGGCTTCCAGCGTGGAGCCTGGTTCTCCCTCTGCCTGTGTCTCTGCCTCTGTGTGTGTGTGTGTGTGTCTGTCATGAATAAATTAAAGAAAAAAAAATCCCCGCATGACCTCTCATCTCCCCATTTTTAAGGTCTAACCTAACTCATTTGGTGGGAATGCGGTAAAGAGAGATGCAGTTATGCTAGTGAGGAGTACTGAGCCCTTCCAAATAGAAGTAGTGCATCCTGGCATCATGATGTGTGCGTATCAGCATCGTGGTTGCTTATTTTCTTCAAAATAAAACTATTTTGCATTATCATGTCGTCCTTGATCTGAGGGTCTGAAAGCAGCTTCCAGTTACTGCTGTTTCTTATATTATTTGGCTTTTCTTATGACAGGTTAAAAAATTAGTTTCTCTAACCGTGAGTACCATCAAAGGGTCACGTTTTCCTCCTCCCAGCCAACCTCTGAAAGACAAAAAAATAATTTTACAAGGAAAAAGTTGCCTCTCGCAGCAGTATATGAGAAGACTATTAGAGTCATAGGAATAGGAGTTGGAACGTCATCTCAACCTCTAGCTACAAAGCACTTTTAGTTTAATCATAAAATTAGGGATATTAATACCTGGCTTAAACGATTTTTATGAAGATTAAATGGAACAATATGTATTTATTACCTGAGACATAATAGCCAATCAGTGAGCACTAATGTTGTTTCCTGGTGATAGGATGAATTATGTAATATATAAATTATATCTCAATAAAGCGCTCACAGACTGAGGTCAAAACCATGCCCGCCTGGAGGTCAAAACCATGCTCGCAGGCAGCCCAGGTGGCTCAGCAGTTTAGTATAGACTTCAGTCCAGGACATGATCCTGGAGACCCAGGGTCGAGTCCCATGTCGGGCTCCCGGTGCATGGAGCCTGCTTCTCCCTCTGCCTATGTCTCTGCCTCTCTCTCTCTCTCTCTCTGTGACTATCATTTAAAAAAAAAAAATTTGAAATGTTGAAGCCTGTACCCATGCAACAAAGTAAAATAAACTTTTCATTTGCACCACCTACAAGGCAATGAGTTAACTGGAGATACATACAGAAGTTCAATGTTAATTTGAATTGTGCATCAGGTTTATGAGGTCATTTTGTAGACTTAATTAGTTGCTTTCAGAGACAGGAAAGAAGTAACAGTTACACTTCTAGAGTTCTAATACTTAAGTTCTAAACACTTAAAAATATTAACTTGCTCTTTATAGCAACCCTATGAGGTAGGTATTATTATTCCCATTCTGTAGAGGTGGATTGAGGCAATTGACAGAACTCAGATTTGAAACCAGGCAGTCTAGCCCCAAGTCTAGAAGTTTGGGGTTAGTTTCAATTTTTCTACCAATCTTTATGATCTTACCCCCATTTGGTTTTATTGAGAAACAATTGACATTACTGTATAAGTTTACAGAGTACAGCGCAATGGTTTACTCACATATTTTGTGAAATTGATCTTGAGTATAGCAGTCAACTTTTTAATGACCTTAGTCTACTAATTTATGTAAATTCTGATTATTTTACTTGTGCTTCTACTTTCAATTATGTAGAGAAATAAGATTGTTCATAAACATTGAATTAGTTGAGATCCATTTCCCTTCTGAATCTGTAGTAATTGGTGAAAAATGTAACTTTCTCTTGCATCACATAGATAATTGAATATAAACTAGGACTTACATTGCTTATTTGGAATCAGTGTCCGGAGGAGTCCCTTAGTTAACTTTGTAAGAATATACTATTTGCTTGGATGATCATCATTACATTCTCAGACTCTCTAGGCTTTTCTTGTCCACTAAAACCTTAACCTAGGGCTTTGAGGAGGGGAAAGGAGTATGCTGAGAACTTCAGAAATTATGATTGATATAAACAGAGTATACCTTATATAAAGTCAGAGTAGGATTTGAAATTAGAGATGCTCTAGGAAGGGTTCCTTGATCCTCCAAATATTTTCCCTCTCTACTCACTGATGTTTAAATAATCCCTTTCAGAAAGGTTCTTATACACACCAATTAAAAGATAGGACTTCAGATGTAAATACTTCGGCAGAGAGTAAGGTTTAAACCTGAGGTGTCAAATGAGAGTCAGTTTTCAGATGGACCAGAGAAAGAAGAGGGAAAAAAACTTTTCTTTTTCATTTTTTTAAAGTTGAATGGAAGAAAATACAGAGAAGCCCAAGACAAGGTTTGTCTAATTCACAATATTGTTTGGTGCTAGCTACATAAGCTTAAGGAAAAATTTTCCAGAATGAGCACATCCCCCAAAACAGCAATGATTGATACCTTGCTGTCTTTATTTTTCAACTCTTACTACCTTTGGTCTTCAGTAAGCTCTGTTTCATTTCTTCCTTCTACCTTGTTATTCCTCTACAGTTACTCCCTCTGATAACCTCTCTCCCCGATTGTATTCACTCCTCTCTCCCCGATTTTATTCACTCCTCCGAACCATTCTTTTCTCTTTAGTAATTTTATCATTCTCTTCTCCCATTTCTAGCTCTCTAGATAGCTAAAAGGCAGTGAAAAGGCAAGGGAGTAGTGCAAACACCAAAACAGCATGTAGTAAAGTGTTTAATCTGTTAATGACATTTTGAAACTCGAGATATGAATAGAAATTGTAAGTGCTGTGATACAGTTTTTAAAACTAAAAAAAAATAATAATACAGAGGCTCCTTATTTCAGACAAATGTTAGGTCCTGACAAGGAGAAAGAAAAAGTAGTGAAATGAATACAGTGTCTTGTACAAAGAGCCACTATACTAGGACTTTTTAGTTTGGCTCAGTGCCTCTAACCAGTTGGGTAACCTTGGTCAAGTCACTTAATCCCTATGAGCATTAGTTTCCTCATTTCCTCATGAAATAGGGTGATTAGACTCTGAGGGATTTATTCATGAGAGACACGGAGAGAGAGAGAGAGGTAGAGACACAGGCAGAGGGAGAAGCATGCTCCACACAGGGACCCTGATGTGGGACTCGATCCCAGGACTCCAGGATCACACCCTGGGCCAAAGGCAGGAGCTAAACTGAGCCACCCAGGGATCCCCTAAAACTCAAATTCTTGCAAGGGTTATACTATGTAACTAATATAAATGGGTAAAGCAAATTTGCTAAGATAGTAAGAAGTTATGGGGACTCTAACGAACTGTCGGCCCCTATGAATGTTACATAACGTTTCTTAAGAAAGATTATTTGAGGGAGAGAGAGAATGTGTAAGCACAGAGACCAGGGGTAGAGGAAGACGGAGAAAGAACTTAAGCAGACTCTACTGAGCAGAGGCTGATGGGGGCTCAATCTCAGGACCCTGAGAAGGTGGCCTAAGCCGAAACCAAGAGTCAGACACTTGGTTGGACCACTCCGGTGCCCCAATGAAAGTTATTTAAATTAACAAATTAGAACAAGCAAAATTATATCTCCTACCCCAAAGGTTCTGGAAAGTTTCATTTTAATATGGGCCTGAAGCCTGGGAATTGATTAATCTGAAGTGCTACTTGAATTTTCTTTTTTGGTAGCACACACAAATGGCTCGGAGAGCTGGCACTACCCTGAAGGTTGATGTCAGCCTACACTATAGTGGATACT